GGGGCGGAGAGAGAGATATAGAAAGTAAGTATTATGGGGTCCCAAAAGGATCAGGAACATCATTGGAGTGGGTAAAAATAATATAGGGCCTCTATGGACTCCAATGATGTTCCTGATCCTTTTGGGACCCCATAATATTTGTACCCCCCCTAAATGTTACATAGTATGACTACGATCCCTAAATGGGTTGCTTACGGAGTGGGGTGGCTGTAGCCGTAGTAGCGGTGCTCCAGGTCGAAGAGCTTGGCCTTGTAGATGCGGGCGAGGTACGTCATGAAGAGCGCGCCGTCGGCGAGCCTCCGCTCGGCCTCCTGACCCTCGCCGCCGATGTAGATGAAGGCAGGACCGCCCTCCTCGTACAGGTCGTCGCGGGCGAAGTACCTCTGCGCAGAAACATCGTGATCACGTTGACAATATGGTTGACATATTAACGGCAATACGGTGTAACTGATAACGTGGCCACTGACTGTTAAGGCACAATCACCTGCTTCCAGACGCGCTTGTCGATGGGGTTGAAGTGGTCCAGGACCTGCTCTTCGAAGTAGAGGGTCTCCACCTGGTGCACGTTGCTGAGGACGTTGGCGGGCGGCGGCGGGGGCACGTAGCGAAGGCGGCCGTGCTGGAGGCGGAGGCCGGGGAACAGGGGCGCGTCCGTGGCCTCGTGCGCGTCCTGGCGCTCCGCGGGCACGGAGGCCTGCTGGGTGGGCGCCGGCGCCAGGGCCAGGGCCAGCAGCAGCGCTGCCTGCACGGCGAGGATCATCTTGGGGGCGGAGCGGACGGGCTGGGCAGGGCTGCGAGCGTGGGTGCACCGGGTGCACAAAGCAAGCAGGTGAGCGAGGCGCCCGAGCGACACGGTGACGACGGCCGTCCGCGGGCTTTGCAGTCGTAAACCAATAAATCAGACCTCTCGGGCTATGATCCCTTTGATCACAGACTAACGGGGTCCCCTGCTCGGGCTAGCCCGCATGTATTGTGCGTAGGGAACAAGATGATGAGCGTCTTTTCCCCTACAAGTATTTAGGAGGAAAATGATACATGCTTGGGGAAGAAATGAGAGCTGAAAACCCAGCAAACAGCATAGGGAACCGCGTAGGGAAAAACCGAGACTGCGCCACTTTATTTCCTATGTTATTTCCCCCCTCATTGTCTTCACATAAGATGTAAAGTCAGCGGTGTCTTTTTCTTCTCCAACTCTGAGGTGCCTCACTCTTCCCCCTCCTGACCCTAATAAATCATTGTCCCTCACCTGCTGCTCGCTGAGGATCCCCCTGCTTCCTGGGCTGCGTCAGGTGAGACTGGCGGCCACACGAATCACGGTATCCTGACAGCGGCTTAGCGCATTATCGGCCCGCTTAATGCGAATCAGATAAATACCTAGTACTCGTGGCGGCGGGTCAGTCGGTGTCGTAGGTGAGGCGGCACATGGCCGATTCGCCCCCCGATAAGGAACCCAATCATCTGGGAGATAAGGGCCAGTGCGAAACCTCGCTACCGTAGAGGCTCCTGGCGCGCGGGGAAGCCGTCGGCTCGGCCGCTGTCAAAGGCGCCGCCTCGGACAGGGATTCTGCGGCGCGCGCGCGCACCAGGGATCTCAAGGATTGAGTTATTATTGTCGTTTCCTTCCGATTCCGATGCGAATCCCAAATCTTCCCCTCCGTTTTAATCGTTCCGTCGTGTGTGATCTATACTCCATTTTTGAACACTCACGTTGGGTGGTTGTCCGCGTGGGTGAGGTCGTTCTCCGTGTTCATTTCCCCAACCCCAACCCGAAGGTACAATCTGCCAACGCCTGCCGCCTCCACGCGGCTGACCAAGGCCGCTGCTGGTTAGTGTGTTTAGTGGTTGTGCTATCGAGTGTGTCGTCTCAGAGCTGGCTGCATATCGTGTCGGATGTCTTCCTGGCGCGTGGTTTTTTTTAGGAAAGGGGCAAGTGCAACGATAACGTTTTATTGTTTCATTGCCCTCAAAGGGTTGCGCGCCGATGGCTCAGGCTCAGGGCGACAAGGTGGGGTTGTCGCCGTTGGTGCCCTCGCACAGGGCGTTCGTGACGAACTGAGCGTTTCACGTAAGATGAGCGTCCTGGTGAGAGGCAAAATGACGCTAAAATTGACAAACCCATTGATTTTTAGAGAGAGGGACTAAGAAGAGTGCAACCCTGCAAAACTATTTTCAATTTGAAGTCGTTTCGTTTAGTATATATGGCACCGCACATTGCTCGTGTGAGCGCTCATCTCACGTGAGACGCGTCGCGTACTTAACTTTACACGCCCCTGAGCCTATGCCGGCGTGCGCGCAGCCCACCGCTGCGAGAAGCTTAGAGATCCCCCCCC